AAATTCTGGTGTACATAACATGTCTCACAATATTCTAAAGTTCTTTGTGTGAATGATGTAAATGACTCCCCTGCTTGTTAAACCTTTTCGCCATTTGTCCCGTCTTTTATTTCACCCTTCAGCTTTTCTGCAGTAATCCCAGGTTTTTACTTTACATGATGGTCAATGACATGTTTGTCATCAGCTACACAATCACAAAAATCCCGGCCTGTTGTATTCTCCTCCTGCTTGTTCTCTTCATGTTGGCTTTGAAGAGAGTAAGAATTTATCTAATGTATAATTTAGAATTATTTTTAAAAATTCTCAGATCTCATTGGGCTTTGAATAAACTGTGCACACATGTATCACAGATCAACCCCCACCCCCCACAGTCCATGTGTACTCACTCTGTATAAAAAGGCTGCTGCAATACCACAATCACATTAGGATCAAAATCCATTCAAGGTCAGTACTGTCATGCTTCACTTCACACTTCTTTTATTGGAAATGAAAAAAGAACCACCACAGAATTGTTCACAATGTAACTGTTTTTAAATCACATTTGCTGTACATTGCACCGTTGACTGTTTTTTGCCCCTGAAACAGGTTCTTTGGATGCTGATATGAATTTGACACAAGTTGACAGCAATGCAACAATAACTTTGAATTACTGGAACACATTTGTCAAAGCTGTTGGCAGGAATGTGACCATTGTTGTGTTGGGCATCACCATAAACTACATTAATGCCACCATGATCCACACATTCAACAAGTATCATGTGTGTAAAGTAGGCCTGCTACTTTACTTTACCTGTCAAAGAGTTGTCATATTTTGTTATCTTTATTATTTTAAGTTGATTTTTTTTTTTTATTTTGTTTTCAGCTCATGTTCCTTTGGTTCGAAGGCTGAGCTTGTCTGCTGTACTTTAAAAGGAATATCATTTAGAAATGCTTGTTTTTGATGTAGACCTTATTACTTTCAATGTTAGCTTATTTTTGGATATTATTTGGGTGTTTGTAAACCCCTGATTTAGACTGAAACAAACAAACAAAATCTTCTCTGTGCATATTTTGTTTTATTTTAGTAATTGCAGCACATTGTTTCTTTTCCTAGAGTCTCTCTACTAACTCAATAATTCACTTATATGTGATTTATTGTTTCTGTGAGGCAGTACTTAAATCTAATTTTAATATGTACATGTTTTTACAGTAACGCTGTTTTAAATCACCTGTTGTTTTAACCTCTGCCTTTCTTTAACCTTACTCTAAAGATATATACTAAACTAATAATTAATTATGTCATTTAAATCAGATCTTCAGGTTGAACCCTCGCTACATCCTGTTCATCCACTTGGTGTTTAACGATATCATCCAACTGTCAACCAGCATTTCCCTCTTCATCTTCTCGTACGCTTTCCACACCATCCATGTCTCCCTCTGTTTGTTACTCATCTTGCCGGCGATCTTTACCACACAAAACACTCCTCTTAATATAGCTTTTATGGCAGCAGAGTGTTGTGTTTCTGTCTGCATCCCTCTTCGATACAGCTACATATGTACAGTCAAAAGAACATATATTGTAATTGGAATAATCTGGGCAATAAGTTCACTTTCCATTTTGCCAGATCTGTTCATTCTCTTGGCTGTTGAGTCTTCACAGTTCTTACAGTCGAGAGTGGTCTGCAACAGAGACACTGTGTTTCGGAGCAGCTATAGTGTAAAGAAGAGGGATGCATCCCACACACTGTTTCTGGTGGTAGTTTCGATCACACTGTTGTACACTTACTGCCGAATTTTGTTTGTGGCTAGATGTGCTGATTCAGATACTAAAAAGGCAAGAAACACCATCCTGATTCATGGGTTTCAGGTGCTGTTGTGTACAACGGTTTATGTGCAACCTCCGTTAATCAAACTCCTGGTATACTTTTTTCCTGAAGGGCTAAAAGACATAAACTTTGCCACTTTTATTATTAACCAAGTTCTCCCTCGCTTAGGAAGTCCTATAATCTATGGATTACGTGACAAGACTTTCAGAAAGTTCTTGAAAAGGCATTTGTGTGCAGTGAACCAGCTTCCAAAGATGATACGGTCGTCATAAAACAGCAATACATATCCAACTCATATACTGATTTTAGATGGGAACATATTTTCAGCATGTCATTTTGTATAACCTCTGCTGTTTTCATAGCTGAACTACATTAAAATATTTAGTGTAAAAATAATGTTGTTTAACACAATCAAGGAGGAAGTTGAAAGATTATAAACTCTGCACAAAAGCTTATATGCAATATTATAATTCATTTAAAAGTTTTTAATCAGATAACAGGTCTGTGCATGATGTGTTGCCTATATTTGGGTGTCCTTGGTCACTGCTAGGTCAGGCCTTGGGTAGCACTAGAGACATGGCACTCATTTCTGAATTGACATTTTTTAGAGAATTTTATTTAAAATGTGGTTTTCCCTCTTTTTACCTCCAAACCTGAACTGAGGCTTATTGATGGTACTTCTTTTGGCTCTTCAGATTTTTTAGATTCTTAAATAAATTTATTGCCCAAAAAGTTTTGTGTAAAAAGAAATACTAATGTAATCAAAATTATGATTATTTATATGTCTTACGATATATGGCAGCAAACATGGAACAAGAAAAAAAGGAGGTGAAAAAAAGAAAGAAAAGCAGCTTCAGCTCCCGGGCAGGAACCGGCTCCAACCAGGGCTGGGCTGGGACAAAAAATCGTCCTGGGCATTTTGACTAGAGACCGGCCCACCGGATATTATATGAAAAACCATAAAGCCTTTGAATGAAAACAAACACTGTTGTAACAGGGATGTACACTGTCTTATTGGTATATATGTATGATTTCTATACATTTTGCATCAGATATTATAAGATTCAGATAATTATGTCTAGATAAAAATGTCTAGCTTTATTTATTACAGCTAGACATTTTAAATGAGAATAAGAAAGAAAGGCAAGGCACGTTTATTTGTATAGCACAATTCAACAACAAGGTGATTCAAAGTGCTTTACAGAGACATTAGAAACAAAAACAAATAAAAAGCATGATTTAAAATTGATTAAAACAAGCAAGCAAACAAACAAACTAATTAACAAACAAACAAACAAAACAGTATATAAAATCAAAACAGATAAAATCAGTAGTTAAGCTTAAATTTCAAAACTTACATTTTAAGTGCTGATTTGGTGCTTTATTCAAATGCAGCTGAGAACAGGTGAGTCTTCAACCTGGATTTAAATAAACTGAGTGTTTCAGCTGATCTGAGGCTTTCTGGGAGTTTGTTCCAGATATATGGAGCATAAAAGCTGAATGCAGCTTCTCCGTGTCTGGTTCTGACTCTGGGAACTGATAAAAGACCGGATCCAGATGACCTGAGGGATCTGGAAGGTTCATACTGGGTCAGGAGTATTTCTTTGTGCCCCCTTTCCCTGTTAATGCCCTACCTGCTAGACCCGCCCTGCACAGTTACCAGCTGTCAGCTCCTTAGAAAAGGATCCAGGTGTTATTTGTCTCACAAACTTCCCTTCAACTCATTCATGTCACCTAAAAGGTAAACCTGTTTCTCCATCACCTGCAAGCGTAACATTTTACGCTAGGTGAGAAATCATCAACATATTACGTTTTCGGCCACCCAACACGTTCCTAAATCATGACATCGGAAAAAAATGAGGAAATATG